AGCTCAGAAACTGCCCAAGCAGAGAGGGATGACAATTAAAGGTTGCTAACATGGGGAGGCAGCAAAGCTGCTGATGACATTACTCTGCCATCAATCCTCCAAGAGCCTCTTTATCTGTCCTGCCTCTAGGAATAGAATTCTTGACAAAAGCAATGACATTAGGCCAGCAACATCACATTTCATGCCAAGTGAAGCTAGAATCTACAAGTGGGACAGTAACAGTTCTCTAGTATCGTTATACAAATGACTCACTTTGTGTGTCACTCCTTTAGAAACAGCTGCTCCAGTCCTTCTGAGGCCTTCCATGACAGGAAGCTTGCTCTCTCAAGGTGGCTCTTTGTGTCTTCAAACTGCTCTCACAGTCACACAGGCCTTCTTCACATCTGGTCAATGTGTCTCCCATCACTTCCATTATGACTTTAGTTTGGCCCTCTCCACTCCAGTACCTCCAGTCACCCCTCTCAAAATCATCTGTCCCAGCCTTTTCCTTCCCAGCATTCCCTCCTCTTCCAAGATTCCTTTGTTTGCTTCTAAGTAGGTCTGGCCAGCAATCCCCTAAGCACATCACCAGCAGGCTCCCCACTTTTTCCTGGAGTCCAGCCTCCAGAAGAGAGCACTCCCAGCCACCATGGGCAGCCTAGTCTGCCTGCAAGCCAGTAACTTTTGGGTCCCTTCTGTGGGCATCACCAACAACCACTGGTACTTCCCTCAGAAGAAAGTATTGAGAGCATATGTACTGATACACACACTGTCCTCAAGGGCCTCAAAAGCCAGGGAGGAGAGAGATGTCCATAGACAACAGCCTGAGAAAGTGCAGAAAAAGACCAGCAACATGCAGAGGCAAGTAAGTGTCAAGGACAAAAGACTGAAGGGATGGGAAAGCCAAGACCTCTGAAGCCAAGATGGCCTGGATTTAAATCCCAGGCCTGACACTCTCTAATTGCGAGAGCATGGACAAGTTACTTAACCTCAGTAGCCTCAGTTTCTTCATCTGTAAAATGGGGGGATTAAACTGACTGTTGTAAATGCCCAGCTGGTTTGGCTCACTGGTTGAGCGTCGATCCATGCACCAAGAGGTCACTGGTTCGATTCCCGGTCAGGGCACAGGCCCAGGTTGTGGGTCCAATTCTCAGTGGGGGGCATGCATGCAGTGGCCAATCAATGTTCTCTCTCATCGATGTTTGTATCTCTCTCTCCCTTTCCCTTCCTCTCTCTCGAAAATCAATAAAGAAACAATATTAAATAAAAAAAAATAGCCCTGGCCAGCTTGGCTCAGCGGTTAGAGCGTCGGCCTGCGGTCCGGAGAAACCCGGGTTCGGTTCCCGCTAAGGGCATGTACCTTGGTTGCAGTTTGTCCCCGGCCCTGATTGGTTCGTGCGGGTGGTAGCCACTCGATGTGTCCCTTTTACGTCGATGTTTCTCTCTCTCTCTCCCTTCCTCTCTCTCCCTCCCACTCTATCTGTACAAAAATTGGAAAAATATCCTCGGGTGAGGAAAAAAAAATAAAAAATAAAAAAATAAAAGTTAAAAAAAAAAGGTAACGATATCTTAATGGCATTTTTTTAAAAAGCTGACTGTTGTAGAGATTAGAGATGTTGGATGTAGAACCCTCGACCCCATGCCTCGTACTCAGTGTCACTCTAAATACTGGAAGCCGCAGATCCATGCCCTGTGATTCCAGCTGAGCAGGAAGTAGACTTTCAGGACCCAGTCTTGTGGCTACAGTAGGAGCAGGAAGCCTGAGTTCATTCTGTACCCCATTCATTTGTCTTTCTCCACCCTCAGATAATCAATAGCCAGTTAGCAAGACTCTGCAAGTTCAATTAGATACATTGCCTGTTCAACAATTGCCAGAATCAGAAACTCTTGGGCAAACCTATAGACTTTTAAAGAGTTTTTCCTTTGTCAGCATCTCTTGGGAAACCTCCCTCCCATAGCTAAGCTTGCTACTCCCTCTGCCAGCCAGACCCTCAAAAGCCTGGCACCATACAGAGTTCCAGGGGCTAGATTTTCCAGAGCACAGCAAACCACGTAGGGCCTAGGCACAACACTGCCTCTGTGAGGTGGATTCTGGATCTTCTGACCCATAATGAAACCCAGCCCAGAGAGTGAGCAGGACAATGTCCTCTGTGACCACTCCATTGCAGCCTGGGCTTCCCAGTCAGTCCTTGTTTTGTTGAATGTATTTGGAGCAAAGAAGAAAACATGAGAAACTTTAGGGGAGAGCTGGAGAATGTTCCGGTTTCTCCTTTGCCTGTGGCCAACAAAGAGGTGGCCTGAAGAGAAAGTGCTCCCTCCCTTCCTCACACCACCCTGAGACACATGATCTGAATCCCCTAGAGAATGCCAACCCCCATCCCCATAGGAGGGAAGTCCTTGACTGACCCTACAACTATGTCTGGAAGCTGACAGGGAGGACGATGGAGCACAGGATCTCAAATGCTGAAGGCAAAGTGGCCGTAGGCTTTTGGGTGACTCCTGCAGTAAATGCTGCTCTGGGTTCACTGGCTGGGGCCAGAGAGGGCCCAGTCCAAAATCTCTGAGAAGAAAGGTAGACTGCAGAAGGGATCTGGTCCCAGAACTCCCTCCCCTCCATGAGGGTTATTCAAGAGGCGCAGACAGGTCCTCAGCAAGCCCAGGCCTGAGGGTAACACTGTGGAGAGTATGCTGTAGGAGGCACTTGGAGTGGGCCCTCTTTGCCTTGGCAGAATTCTGTCATCCTACAAAGCTCACCTTATCTCCTACATACAAAGCCATAAAACATATTCTTTTCTTCACAGTCTCCCTGAGCACATTATGCTCCAGCCTGTAGGACTGTTTCCTGAGGTCAGCCTCATTTCCTACCCAGTCAGTATCCTGCTTAAGAATGGACCAGCTCTGCCCTGGCCAGTTTGGCTCAGCGGTTAAGCGTTGGCCCGAGGACCAATGAGTCGCGGGTTCACTTCTGGCCAAGGGCACGTACCTTGGTTGCAGTTCGTCCCTGGCCCTGGTCAGGGTCATGTGGGAGGCAACCAGTCAATGTGTCCCTCTCATGTTGATGCCTTTTTTTTCCTCTCTTTCCCTTTCTCTCTCCCTCTTTCTCTCCCCCACTGTCTAAAGATAATTAGAAAAATATCCTCGGGTGAGGATTAAAAAAAAAGAATGGACCAGCTCTTACTTTTTATGAACCTTCCTTCACCTCCTAGCAGTGCTAAAACCTAATGGATTTTTTCAGGTATCAGTGGACCCAAAGATACAAACTGATAGCCGGCTGTTTGAATCTGGCCTGCAGATTAGCATTTGTTGGCACACAAGGTACTGCCACAAGCTTTGGCCTGCGGTCCAGAAAGACCCGGGTTCGGTTCCCACTAAGGGCATGTACCTTGGTTGCAATTTGTCCCCAGCCCTGGTTGTGTTGTGTGGGAGGCAGCCACTCAATGTGTTCCTTTTGCATCGATGTTTCTCTCTCTCTCTCCCTCTCCTTCCCACTCTATCTGAACAAAAAAAAAAAAAAAAAGGAAAAATGTCCTCAGGTGAGGATAAAAACAAAATTGGAATGTCTGGAAGTATGGGGTCCTCACTGCTATGGAGCAAAGCTAGGCAGAGATGAGCAGCAGCTGCTCCTTTAGAAAGGGCAAGGTCACTCTAGCTTGCCCCAGTCTCTGTGGAGCAGATACTGTGGAGGCCTTACCCTACATCCTATCAGCCCATTTGAGCTCATCTATAGCTGTGGTCCTCCTGTTTGTGCTAACAGCTTCTCACTGCCAGTGCCTTCAGCTCTCTGCTTCTTTGCTTGAGGACTTTCTCTGGCACTAGTTGGCATTCAGGATAGTCCAGAAGTGCTAGGGATTTAAAGCCCTCAAAGAAATATTTTTTTCTTTATTGATTTGAGAGAGAGGAAGGAAGAGGGAGAGAGAGATAGAAACACAGATGAGAAGAGCATCGGCCTGCGGTCTGGAGAGACCTGGGTTCGGTTCCGGCTAAGGGCATGTACCTCGGTTGCAGTTTGTCCCCGGCCCTGGTTGGTTCGTGTGGGTGGCGACCACTCGATGTGTCCCTTTCATGTTGATGTTTCTCTCTCTCCCTCCTTCCCACTCTATCTGAACAAAATATCATAAAATGTCCTCAGGTGAGGATAAAAAAAAAATTAGAAACACAGATGAGAGAAAACATCGATTGGTCACCTCTGGCATGTCCCCCCTCTGGGGATTGGGCCCACAACCTGGGCATGTGCAGTGACTGGGAATCAAACCAGTGACCTCCTGGTGCATGGGTCGACGCTTAACCACTAAGCTACACCAGCCGGGCCCCCCCAAAGAAATTCTTGACTCGCCCTGGCCGGTTTGGCTCAACGGTTAGAGCGTCGGCCTGTGGTCCAGAGAGACCCGGGTTCGGTTCCCGCTAAGGGCATGTACCTCGGTTGCAGTTTGTCCCCGGCCCTGGTTGGTCATGCGGGTGGCAGCCACTCGATGTGTCCCTTTCACATCGATGTTTCTCTCTCTCTCTCTCCCTCCCACTCTACCTGAACAAAAAATGGAAAAATGTCCTCGGGTGAGGATTAAAAAAAAAAAAAAAAAAGAAAGAAATTCTTGACTCATACAGGAGTCAATGGATTACAAACCACTCACTTTCCTACCCCTCAAGGGTACAATTCTGAGACACATTCCACATGATTATTCACAGGGTCCCCAGTAGACTGAGTTCCATTGGCCCACAGTAGCAGTCCACTCCTTAATGTACCCTTTATTAGCTTTTTCCTTTTCTGCCTTTCTCCCCACCCTTCACTTATGCTTACTGGAATCACATCCTAATCAAACCATATGCTCCCAAGTCCTTGTCTCAGGGTTCATTTGGGGAGGAACCCAAACTCACATACCCTACTAGTCTCATTTAATCATTTTTACATCACTTGCCTGGCTCCACCAGCATGGCTGTCAGAGCACATCCCTCTGATGGAAAGCTGCAGGACAGAACCCCCTACCCACAGGCCTCCCAACATCCACGGAACAGGGCCAACTCACCTCTCCCGAGTAACTGTACTTGCCCCTGAGGATCTGCCGATATAGCCGGGTGCGGTTGTCGTCTTCAAAGGGCATGGTGCCACTGAGCAGGATGTAGGCAATGACACCCAGCGCCCACATGTCCACTGAGTTGGTGTAGGGCTTTCGAACCAGGACCTCAGGGGCAATGTACTCAGGTGTACCACAGGTAGTCTTCATCAGACAGTCGTCACCCTTCTTGCGAGCACTAGCCAGGCCAAAGTCAGTGATGATGATCTTGGAGTCAGTGCCTGGGTGGTAGTAGAGCAGATTCTCAGGCTTGAGGTCTCGGTGTGTAATGCCTAGTGCATGCAAGTACCGGACACCATCCAGCACCATCTGCAGCACCCGTGTGGCGTCACGCTCAGTGAAAGAACCCTTGGCAATGATGCGGTCAAAGAGTTCTCCACCAGTGGCCAGTTCCATCACCATGTACACACGCTCCTGAGTCTCAAACACCTCCACCAGCTGGATAATGTTGGCATGGCGCACTCGGCGCAGCACACGCAGCTCCGACTCACACACCTCCCGCCCCTCCCGGTATTTGGTCTCAATCATCTTGATGGCATATGGTTGCCGGGTTGCCCGGTGCTCCACACGTACCACTCGACTAAAGCTGCCTCGGCCAATCAGGGCTTTGATGTCATACTTGGCTGTCACACGTGGGTCAAACTTGGCCCTGTACTTAGCCACCCTAGCCCTGCGTGGTGGTTCTGAGGGAGGCTCTGTATGGCCGGTAGTAGGGGCACCAAGGCAGGAGTTTGCACACTGACTGGCTGTTGGGAGCCCAGCTTTGAGAGGGCCAACACTGTCCACCTCCGTGATGAAGTGCTTATATACATCACTCTTAGTGCCACTGAAGGGCTCCACCTTCTTTACCAGATCCAGCTGGACATCCTTGGGCGGCTCAGGAAGGACCTTGCTTGTCCCACAGCCCATCACGGACACGGGGGCATCCTCTCCAGCAAGGCTGGCAGGACCTGCTCTGCAGGTAGTGCCCCGTCTACACCTATGCAGACAGAGGAGAAGACAACTCAGCATAGCTACTCAGCATAGCTGGGAACACCTCTGAAGGGATACCAGCCATCCACACCCCTCCTCCTCCTTGTCCTTCAATAATCCTCGCCTGAAGACCTGGCTCTATATGGTTTTCTGGAAGGGAGGATGGCTTTGGTCCTGAGTGCTCAGAGCCCAGGGTCAGTGGAGGGTCTAGATAAAAGGCTGGATCTGAGCATCATGGTCTTGATTTATATCTCCTTGATTCTGATTCTCGCACTGCTCTTCAACCCTGAGAGAGGGCAGGAACATGCACCAGGCTCAGCTGTTACTGCTCCCATCTTCCTTCCTACTCTGATTGGGTTCCTTATCCTAGCTGAAGTTCTATGTTTTTTTAATGTTAAAATCATTCCTCTTACTACTCTGGCTCATCTTTCCTGAAACAAGGGTGTAGAGTGTTGGAGGCCTACTGTCCAACACTATCACCTACCAGGGATCAGAAAGCCACTTCTCAAAGGCGTCCCTCATGTATATTTTTTCGGGCTCTCTATGACTCCTGAAGGCATGCTCCTTGTGCAACCTCACTGCCCTGGGTCTGTGCCCTAACCTCACTCTTTCCTGGACAATTCACACTCCTTTGCTAATACACCATCTTCACCCTGACAGCGTTAACACCTGTTTCAGGGTCTCTCACTTCTCCAGTCACCACATGGATGGCTAAAATGCCGCATAAGTCCCAGAGCTAGCTGAAATCAATCCCAATGAACTTGGGAACCACAAGCCTTAGCACACTGCTACCAGGTAGCCACCAAACTGGGCACCATACAAGAGACAAAGAAAGAAGGCACTCAACCTGTGTTTAGAAAGAAGTGTGAGGCTGAACTGGAGGAGGATCAAAGTGGACTAAAAGGGCCAATGTGGGGGTGGCATGCCCAGACAGTGGTGTGGAATGAAGAGATGTCAGCAGGAGAACTGATAGGGACTGGAGGCTGGACATAAGGGGTGAAAGGGTGGTGTGTCCAGGCAGCACTCCAGTCCCTCACACAGGCTCCTGGGCAAAAGGGTCAATAGTGCAACAAAATGGACAGGTTTAGGAAGCAGTGTGAAGAGTTCAGTTTTGGATGTGTTGCAGTGTATGTGGAATATCCATATGACATTTACTGCAGGTCACTGGACATAGAATCTAACATTTGAAAAGAGCTGGTCACGGTCAGAGATTCCATGGCTGCCCCAAGGATGGTGCTTAGGGTCAAGAGGCAACACCTGTACCCAACCCCACCTTCTCACAAAGCCAGCAAAATACCCCATCAACAGCAGCAGAGAGAAACTTAGGCAGGTTTTGCTGAAACACCTTGGAGAACAGAGAGAACACACAGAGACCATCAGATTCCAGTGAGTTGAGGGCCTGAATTCAAGGTTGTGATACTGACCAATGTAGCCAACTGTTTCAAGGAACAAACTCACCTCTGAAACATACCTTGATTACCAATCCAACAGATAAAAAGGAGAAATTGGGAGACCACAGATTAAGGGCTCCAGTTTTAATCAGTATGTATTAATCAATATGACTCTCAGCAAAATGAGGCTTATCTTTTCTCACATGAAAGGAAAAGATTCCTCCACCAAAACAAGGCTCTTCAGGATTTGCTGCAGTTCTCACCCAAATAATGCCCAGGAGATCCCACATAGAAGTTTAGGAAATGGTGTTTAACAAAGGCATTTAGAAACAAGGTTCCTTGTCACACAGGCCAAAGATTAGAACTACGGACTTTGGAATTTTGCAAACTCATCTCTTCCTTCAGGGAAAACCTCAATGCAGTAAATGGCTACTGCTCAGGATAGCTTTTGGGCCAGGATTCCTAATGCAGAACACAGGTCCTTGACTCCCAAGACCACAAGTAGTAAGCAACTTCTACCACCATTCAGAGAAAAGACAAATTGCATCGGTGACCCAACACAACCACTCAGATGTCACTTCTTCCTCGTGAGGAGGCAGAACACTAGATCCACAAAATAAATAACTGTTCCAGGCATACACACTGGCTGTTTTTGTTTAAATGTGCGTACCTAGTCTGGTCCTGACAAGAAAAACTAAGGTTTACAAAAGAAAAGCCCTGACTTTTCATTTTAAACAAACAAAGCCTGCACAAAGATCTCAAGTCAGCAGTGAGAGGGCCAAGGATTATCCCTCTCTGACCTTCCTTCTTCCTTCCGGGACAGTTTCTCTCACATTTGTTCCAATTAAAAATTGTTCAGGTCCTGGTTGGGTAGCTCAGTTGATTAGTGCCTCATCCCAATACTCCAAGGTTGTGGGTTCAATCCCCGGTCAGGGCACACAGAAGAATGAACCAATGAATGCATAAATAAGTGTAACAACAAATCAATATCAGTCTATCTCTCTCTCCCTCCCTCTCTCCCTTTCTCTCTCTCTTTAAAATCAATGAACAAGCCCTAGAGGGCTGGGGGGTGGAAGGGGAGGGAAGAGATAAACTAAAAAACTTATATGCATATATGCACAACCAATCAACATGGACACTAGGCTGGGGGAGGCAGGAGGCAGGTGGGAGCGGGTAGGAGTGGGTCAATGGGGAAGAAAGGGGGACATCTGTAATACTTTCAACAATAAAATAAATATAATTTAAAAAATAAATAAGCCCTAGCCGGTTTGGCTCAGCGGTTGGAGCATCGATCTATGAAGTCCCTAGTTCGGTTCCTGTGAGGGGCACATACCAAAAAAATAAAAAATTCAAAATAAATAAATAAATAATAAAATAAAATCAATTACAAAGTAAAAAAGAAACTCTTCAAAGATGGTTTGATGCTAGCACCTCACCTTCCTAACTACACATAAAGAATGGAGGAGAGAGGGTGCCAGCTCGGGGAAGGGAAAATGGCTGGTAGCCTCCAGGTGACCACAGCTGCTCCATGTTCCAATCACATCTTTTACATTCTCTTTCCATAACTGTCAAATGAAAAGGCAGACACAAGGACAGGAAAGGCAGCTGGCAAAAATCCTTCTGGGGCCCAGCCGGTTTGACTCACTGGTTGAGCATCGATTCATGCACCAAGAGGTCACTGGTTCGATTCCCGGTCAGGGTACACGCCCAGGTTGTGGGCCCAATCCCCATTGGGGGGGCATGTAGGGGGCTACCAATCAAAGTTCTCTCTCATTGATGTTTCTATCTCTCTCTCTCCCCCTCCCTCTCTTTCTAAAATCAATAAAGATTAAAAAAACAAAAACAAAAACAAAACACTCCTCTGGGAAGAAGGGCTGAGTGTTTTCCTGTCCCAGCATTCTTGTATATGTCCTCAGCAGTGACCAGAGTGGGGGTAAGGGTGGGTGACGATGAGGGAGGAAAGCCTCAAGAGAGACCTCCCAGGAGGGGCACACTATGCCAGCTATTCCAAGACCCTATTTCCTTCACAACACCAATTTGAACACATCTTGCAGAAAGTACTTAATTCTCTAGAGTCGGCCTTCACACCCTCAACTCTCAGCCTGATCCAAAGAACTACTCAAGAAAGGGAAGTGTGGCTCTGGCCGGTTTTATTTAGATGGTTGAGCACTGTCCTGTGCACCAAAAGGCCGGTGGTTCAATTCCCAGTCAGGGTACATGCCTAGGTTACGGGTTTGGTTCCAACAGATCAATGTTTCTGTTTCTCTTTCTCTCTCTCTCTCCCTTCTTCCTACCCTCTCTCTCCTTCTACCTTCCTTTCTCTATAAAATCAATAAAAATATATTTGGGGGAGCCCTGCCGGTTTGGCTCAGCGGTTAGAGCGTCGGCCTGCGGTCCAGAGAGACCCGGGTTCAGTTCCCGCTAAGGGCACATACTTCAGTTGCGGTTTGTCCCCGGCCCTGGTTGGGTTGTGTGGGTGGCAACCACTCGATGTGTCCCTTTCACGTTGATGTTTCTCTCTCTCTTCCTCCCTCCCACTCTATCTGAACAAAATATGGAAAAGTCCTCGGGTGAGGATAAAAATATATATATATATTTTTTGGGGAAAAAAGGCAAGTGTGAACAGAGTGTGGCAGTGGGCATGAATATTAATCACTACAGTTTACAGTAATAGTCTATAGAAATGACAGGCCAAAAAAGGTAGAAACTCGTCCAAAGTCACTCAAATAGTGATGGCCAAGCATGGACTCAAATCTCCTAGTTCTCTAGGAGAGCTCCTTCCATTATGCAGGAGACTCCAGAAGTACCAGAGCTGGGCCTTACCAGGTCAACGCCTCAATCATTCTTCATACCAGTCAACTGGTGAATCAACAAACCTTTCCTGAAGGGCCTGTCTTCTGAAACCTTCATTCCAAGTACAATCTGGGTCACACTGCTCAGTGTTGTACTCTTTTTTTTTTTTTTTTAGAAACTGTTTATTTTCCATCAACCTTATTTCCATTCTGTGAAGAGTTCGTGGAAGAACAGCTTAAGACCACTCGGTGGTTGTTCCCACCCATTCCGGGGCCTGAGCAGTGGGGGCTGCGGACCAGTCTTCAGTGGCAGGCTGAGCACTCCAGTCTTCAGTAGGAAACTGCTGAATGGGCACCGAGGGCACCTGCATGCCTTCAGACCAGTCTTCCACCTCTGGCTGAGCAGCAGTGAACTTGGGAGCTGGAGCAGTCCATTCACCCTGAGATTCCTCCTTCGTCACAGCCTTATCAGCAGCGGCCTGCTCTTCCTTTTCAACCTCTTCAGGATCTCTGTAGAAGTAAAGATCAGGCATGACCTCCCATGGGTGTTCACAGGAGATGGTGCCATGCATACTCAGCACTTCCCGGGCCAGCATCCACATCAGACCCACTGAGTGAGCCCCCTTGTTGTTGCAAAGGATGGCAATGTCCACGTAGTGCAGAGGAGAGTCTGTGTTACACAAAGCAATGGTAGGCAGGTTAACATAAGATGCTTCTGTGAGAAGCTGGTGGTCAGCCCCGGGATCAGTAATGACCAGAAGTCTCGGTTCCGGA